TAGATAGATAGATAGATAGATAGATAGATAGATAGATAGATAGATAGATAGATAGATAGATAGATAGAGATTTTGCCCTCTCTAAGCATCTATGTAATGGAAGGCTGTTAGCCTCTCATTAAAAGAGAAAATCCAAATCACTGGCTCTTGATGCAGTTGAATACTTAAAGCTCTAAACTGAATATTAAAATTGTTTCTTTTCTCGTGTCTAGTGATGGGATCCCTCCTTACAGAATCGGGAACAAGAAGCAGCTCCAGAGGGAAATGCATCGTAGTGTCAAGGCCAACGGGCAAGTTTCTCTACCTCACTTTCCGGTAAGTACTTTTGGTGTTGACAAAGCATTTTAAGAAGCCTGAATTTCTTTGGTCCATAGATGAATGAATTCAAAGGCCGCCTAGAATGTTGATCGATCGTTTTGAATGCAGGTAGTCCTCAACTTACAACCATTTGTTTAACGATCCTTCGAAAGTTCCATCGGCAATTTAAAAAGCGACTTAAGATCCTCACACTTATGACTGTCACAGTAATGTGATCAAAATCTGGGTGCTTGTAAACTGCCATGTATTCACCACAGTTGCAGTGTCCCAGTGATTCCTATCCCAGGAATCCAACGAGCAAAATCAATGGGGAATTCCCTGAACAATTGCAGTGGTTCGCGAAGCAACTCTAGCAACAAAAAGCTCATGAAATCAGGCACAACTCACTTAATAGCCACAATGTTTGACAATGGAAATTCTGGTTCCAATTGCGGTTGTAAAACAAGGACTACCTGTAATACTGTGTTTATCTGTTTGCTTTATGTGCTTGTCTTCGAACTGGAGTTCTGCAGAATGGCGGTGGGCTATGAATATTGTAAAATAAAGGGCAACGACAGATTTTGATTCCCTGTTGTAAGGATAACTGGAAAGATAATTTCCTAAAATGATAAAATGGTACTCGTTTTCTCTTCCCACCTGTTTAGCAAATGTTGCTTAGGGATACTGGATTTGTTTTATCTGCCACAAAGAAGTTCATTTTGCTCTGAAGGATGTTGACCTAAGTGCTACTTAAAGTATACCCGCTCTAGGAATCTGCTTTGTGCTAGGCCAGCCTATGGGGCACCCAAAGTGTGTGGGGATTAACAGTCCCTTCTTGCACCCATTTCTGAGGACTGTTTCTCTTCTCTGCTGTTTGAGAGGGTGGGATAAAGAGAAATAGGGCAGTGATCAGAGAGAAAGAACAGATATACAAATAGTCCTTGACTTATTGACCACAATTGAGCCTACAATTTCCACTGCTAAGCAAGATAAGTGAGTTTTGCCCTAGTTCACGACCTTTCTTGCCACGGTTCTTAAGTGAATCACTGCGGATGTTACGTTAGTCACGTGGTTGTTAAGTGAATCTGGCTTCCCCATTGACTTTCCTTGTCAGAAGTTTGCAAAAGGTCATCACATGACCCCGGGACACTGCAACCATCATAAATACATGCCAGTTGCCCAGTGGCCAAATTTTGATCACATGACCATGGGGATACCCACAACAGTTGTATGAAAAACAGTCGTGTCACTTTTTTTTGGTGCCTTTGTGACTTTGAACGGTCACTAAATGAATGGTTGTAAGTCAAGGATAGCCTGTGTAAGTGGACTTCCATAGAATACAACATAAGAATTCTTTTAAAAAATGAGAGAGGGAGGGAGGGAGGGAGAGAGAGAGAGAGAGGGGGGAGAGAGAGAGAGAGAGAGAGAGAGAGAGAGA